CTATCTATCTATCTATCTATCTATCTATCTATCTATCTATCTATCTAAAATAATAATGTCATATCAATGTCATGAACGATATGATATGGCCCAGCCCTAATATATATATATATATTTTTTATTTTATTTCCCTTTGGTTAAAAAATAAAAACCTGTTGCCCACCCCTGGTTCAGGGGAATATCCCTCTCTCTTGTAAATCAGTCCTTGAGGCTCAATGGGATTTACCTGTCTAAATAAAGGTTGAATGAAAAAAAAATCCCTTTTTTCAGGGACACAGCTGACTAACGGCTCACAGCAACAGAGGGGCGGACTGTTAACCCTCAGTTAAGGTTTTAAAATGAATTTAAACCGTAGGACATCTTAAAAGTGCTCTATGTCTTAAAGCTGTAAACCATCCCACACCTCAGGTTATCATTAAGGTCTTTAATTAAATTTTAAGCACATCAGGTGCTGTTCTCATCCTTCCCAGGCTGAAAAACTATTTGCAAAGTAAAATGAAAATAATGAATAATACATTTGTAAGTCAGCGATGTTTGTTTGGCCTGCACTGCTGCTCAGGTCTGTGAGAAAGTGTTTAACTGCTGTCTCTGTTCAAAGAAGCGTTTGTCTAATACTAAATTGTGTGCTGATTGTTTCTTGTGGCTCTTAACAGAAAATCGATGGTGCCGTGCGTGGTGTGGAGCCTCCACGTGTTTGCCTATGCTTATGGGGATGGGATATTTGACCTTCCCTCACCAAAGTGTGCTTACTTGATTCAATATTTATTGGCTCCTCTGCGCAGCTACAGGGAAACGTTTTACTGCGTTTGTGTGTCTGAATGCAGCGGGGTGTGTGTCTTGTTCTGAAAATGTTGCTGTGGGAGCGTTTTTATGCTTTTCGGCCTCAGTGTGTAATCATCAATCACTGTTCGAGACAGCAGCAGAATCAAACTTTTGTCAGCCGTTTCACATAAGTAAGCATCGTCACCAGTCTGCCTGTCTGTCCTTCTTTTATTCACTTGTCGCTCAAGCTCGTATTGACTGCACAGGCCAGTTTTATTATTTTTTTGTCATCGACAAAAGAACCAACCACATCTGACATCTAAATTATCAGTGCATGTGTTTTTCTGCCATATTTGGTTCTGAAGCAAACAATGTAAAGAGACGGCTGTATCAATTTGCCAATCAGTCCGGCTTTTTTTTTTTTATGTCTTGTCATAAAAAGACAAGGCTTTTAATTCCTACGTCTTTTCAGCACGGTGACAAGCTCCCAGTTTGACAGGCTGTAATATGCTATTGTACATTAATAATCAGAAGGTACTGAGAAGCATCGCTGACTTCATCTCTGAGTCATTCAATGAGAATAAATGTTCAATCATTGGCAACATAATGCGCTCAAAATGAAGAGAAAAGCAGAAACAAAACAGGGAATAAAAGTGATTTAATGATTAAGTCCTTTGGATGAAGGATGAAACATCTCCAAAAAATAAAAAAATAAAAACAACCCAGAAACCGTCCAGATGACCTGACTGAACTTTGTTGGAAAAATGATTTCTGTTATAAAGATAATAAAAAACAACAGGAGAGATGCTGAGTAAAATAAATCTAGTTTTCTTAAAATAAACCTTAATCCTCAAAATAGTAATAGAAATGTCTTTACTGCCTTCCAAAAACACAAGTCTATTAAGGTTTGGGAAAATGTGTTCACGTTGCCAGAGGAGCAACGCCACAAGTAAATCCTGTTTATTCAGCTGAACTTCCTCAGGTTTTATGCTTTTTAAGGAAATGAAGGATGATTGGACTGAAACGTAAGGTGCTGATCACACTGCTCAGTCCAGGTCATGCAGTTTGAAGGGAAACGCTCTTTAGGGGAGAAATGCTGCTCAGAGCTCATCCTGCACTTGTTTCTGATGGATTTTGAGGGAAATAACGCAAAATTTGTCGTGATAAAAATGCCTCTTTAGAAGCCCAGATGGATCTCAGGTCTGTGAGGCAGAATTATCTGCTTCTAGTTCTCGCAAATGGTTTCTGTAAATATTGAGTGGCGCTCGTATAACACTTCCTGCATCATTTCATGTTAAAGGTAGCCATTTAAATGTTTTAGTAAAAACAGTCATTTCTGCTGTAAAAAATTACTTGCAGCCATGGTCACTTCAGCGTAGAGTTAACAATATGTACAAAGTATCAACGCATGAAATGCTTCTTCTTTTCAAGTGTGCCTCAAAAATATAAGGAGTTTTTTTTTTTTTATTATATGCCCATTGAAGGATGGATGTATGATGATATATAGTTTCTGCCCATCCATTTGTAAACTTTCTCTTGTCCCACCCATAACGTCCGCTCAAGATAATGTATTAAAACATCATACACAAAGGTTCTGGTCATAAAATTAGAATATCATGAAAGAGTTGATTTATTTCAGTAATTCAAATCAAAAAGTGAAACTTATATATTATATTAATTGATTGCACAAAGGCTGATATTTTTAAAATGGTTATTTATTTTAGTGTTGATGATTATAACTAGGGATGCACCGATCCACTTTTTAAAATTCCGATCCGATCCTGATACCTAGAACTGAGTATCGGCCGATACGATCCAGTTCCGATATCATGCTCATTGATTTTACATGAGGCTGTAATAATCTCCTCTCAAGTACAGTTTGTACAAATATATGCGTGCATGTCCAAAAAGGCAACTTGAGGTAAATTTTATTAATGTTGGATAAGTTTTAAAGTTAGAATTAAATTCTGCTAACACAAAACATGTTTCTTTTTATTCCTAGTTTTAAAGTGGATATTAAAGTGATTAATTTAAGTGATTGTTTAAAGTTGTTTAATATTTTATAATGGGCAGATATAAGAATTTTTTCTTCTTTCTGCACTCTTTTCATTCAATGTTTTCTTTTTGATAATTAAAAAAAAAATTTTTCATTTAAATGAATGAATAAATGAATTAAATTAAATGTTAAATGGCTTCAAACATCTGCTAAGTTCATGGCATAAACCAACAGACATGTTCCTGTTTTTAGTATTTTACATCACTTTATAATGTAGCTGTCTTTTGTTTTTAATTTATATAATTTTCAAATTATGTTTTTTAATGATTGTCTACTGTTGTACTGATAAATATCTCCTGGAGGGTAAACTATATCTTGACTGCAAGTATCAAGCTGAGAAATCCTTCGTTTTCTACAACTGATAGTAGTTGGTCATTAATTATGATGCAGTTTAGCAACTTCTCTGTAAACATTTGAGCTCCATGGTTTCAGCGATGTCTTCTTCTTGTTCAATCCGAAGCAGGCAGCCTGATTTGGGGCTGCCACGCTCAGTCTGTCCCTCCTCAGAGACGAGCAGACTGAGCGGGGCAGATTGGACGCGGCTGGTCGGGATCGAGTCGCCTCTTTCGGTTTGAGCAAAGAGTAGCGCCCC